TAACTAATAAAGAATTAAAATATATATATATAAAATTTTAGAAAATACAAATGGTCTATAATGAGAGAAAACGGATTGGTGATTTCCCAGAGCCTAGGTGAGATTACAAAGGGCCAACAACAGAAAACTTATGGGTGAGAGATATGTTTACTTTCAGTTGTGAGGGTGGTACATATTAGATCATAAGTTATCAAACTATATACTTTTAAGTATGTGCAATTTACCACATGTCATTTATAGCTCAAGAGAGTTGTTTTTAAAAAGTTAAACAAGGTGAGACTTTTTTTTATCTTTATTTATTTATTTTTTAATTTTATGCAGCGTTTCTCAACCTGTGGGTCGCGACCCCTTTGGGGGTCGAACAACCCTTTCACAGGGGTTGCCTAAATACATCCTGAATATCAGATATTTAGATTATGATTCATAACAGTAGGAAAATTACAGTTATGAAGTAGCAGCGAAAATAATTTTATGGTTGGGGGTCACCACAACATGAGGAACTGTATTAAAGGGTCACAGCATTAGGAAGGTTGAGAACCACTGGTTTAAGGTATTACAAATAGTAGTCCGTATGTCTCTTTCCCCCCCTGCCCCCCCCCACCACTGACCTCCCCAAAAGGTGAGAAATTTTATGTAAGGAGATGGGTAGTGCCATTTGGCCTAAAAATCCAGTGAATAACACTGTTGACCCCAGGGAAGGGATAGTCCATAACAACCCCCAAAAGACAGATGCAAAGTAGCAGGTACTCTAGTTCAGGTAGGAGAAAAAGAGTGAATAAAAGCTAGGCAAAATAAAAACAACAACTATTTGATAAAGAAGAAGCCATCTCTGTGTGTGAGCTTTGGCTGAACAAAGATGGTCAGAGTGGAAATAAAAAGGAAAAGATGGATAAAAGGAAGAATTTTATGATTAAAAAATAGAAATAATTTGGGAAAAGGATATTACTGCTGTCCTCTCTTCTGTAAAGTTAAGTGTGTGAGGCTAGGGGTTCCGAAGGACAAAGAAGCGCCCAGCGGACCAGTGAGGCTGAGCATTCAAGTCAGAGCATGGGCCACCATTGCTGCATCAGATTCACAAAGTCCAGTCTCGGTAAATAAAGCCTGGAATGAGCCAACAGCATAGTGCATGCTCACAGAGAAAAATTCCACTAAATAAACTATCTTTACCAGGTTCAGACCCAAACTAATTCCAATTTCATCACTTATTTTAAAATGTGAAAAAATTCTCATGCACAGGAAATAAGACTTTTAGAAACAAGAATAGCAACAACAACAAAAACCACACAAAAAATAAAATAAGACTTTCTTTGAAAACTATACAGAATACTTACATAGAAAATAAGACTGAGGAGAGAGACCAAGATGGCGGCATAGGTAAACACCGCAGACTGCTGCCGCAAACAACCACTTCAAAAATACAACTAAAAGACGGAACGGACATCACCCAGAACCACAGGAAGGCTGGCTGAGGAGAGACTCTTCAACTAGAAGGAAAAATAACAGCACACCGAGGCTCAGAGGAGGCGCAGTGTGGAAAAAACTCAGGTGCGGAGGTGCGCGCGCAAAGCGGGCTGGTGGCTGAGAGCGCGGTTGTCGTTTTCGGTCAGGGGGGAGTCTCAGACTCTGAGCTCCAGATACGGGCGAATCGCTGGGGACTCGGACCCAAACGGGAGAAGCGGGAGTGTCTGGCATCAGTTGGAAGGCAGCTTTCCCTCCGAGGTTTGCAGCGGTTCCGGGGGTTCTGAGAAGCAGAGCCTCTGGGAACGGGACTGAGAGGGGCCATAACCGCTCCCTCCGCCCGCCCGCCCTGTTGAGCCCGCCCCGCCCAAGCCCTGCGCAGAGCCATTTGCCAGATCGCCTCAGGCAAAGGCTAGATTAGCACCTCCCCAGAGGACAGAAGTTTTCCGCGGCAGACACAGCTGATTCACACAGCCAGTCGGCCTGGTGGTCAAATCCCTCTAGTATTAACTACAACAATCAAGGCTCAACTAGAACAAGACTGCGCACAAAGACCACTAGGGGGTGCACCAAGAAAGCATAAAAAATGCGGAGACAAAAAAACATGACAGAAATGGAGGATATAGAGCTAAAAATCGCAATTTTGAGGGCTTGCAAAAATGTGCTAGAAGCTGTCAATAAACTTGAGGAGAGAGTCACGAAAACTAATGAGACCCTCGATGCTATGATAAAGAACCAACTAGAAATTAAGCATACACGGACTGAAATAAAGAATATTATACAGACACCCAATAGCAGACCAGAGGAGCGCAAGAATCAAGTCAAAGATTTGAAATGCGAAGAAGCAAAAAACACCCAACCGGAAAAGCAAAATGAAAAAAGAATCCGAAAATACGAAGATAGTGTAAGGAGCCTCTGGGACAGCTTCAAGCGTACCAACATCAGAATAATAGGGGTGCCAGAAGATGAGAGACAGCAAGATATTGAAAACCTATTTGAAGAAATAATGGCAGAAAACTTCCCCCACCTGGTGAAAGAAATGGACTTACAGGTCCAAGAAGCGCAGAGAACCCCAAACAAAAGGAATCCAAAGAGGACCACACCAAGACACATCATAATTAAAATGCCAAGAGCAAAAGACAAAGAGAGAATCTTAAAAGCAGCAAGAGAAAGAGACTCAATTACCTACAAGGGAATACCCATACGACTGTCAGCTGATTTCTCAACAGAAACTTTGCAGGCCAGAAGGGAATGGCAAGAAATATTCAAAGTGCTGAATACCAAGAACCTACAACCAAGAATACTTTATCCAGCAAAGCTATCATTCAGAATTGAAGGTCAGATAAAGAGCTTCACAGATAAGGAAAAGCTAAAGGAGTTCATCACCACTAAACCAGTATTATACGAAATGCTGAAAGGTATCCTTTAAGAAGAGGAAGAAGAAAAAGGTAAAGATACAAATTGTGAACAACAAACATGCATCTATCAACAAGTGAATCTAAGAACCAAGTGAATAAATAATCTGATGTACAGAATGAACTGGTGATTATAATGAATCAGGGACATAGAAAGGGAATGGACTGACTATTCTTGGGGGGGAAAGGGGAATGGGAGATGCGGGAAGAAACTGGACAAAAATCGTGCACCTAGGGATGAGGACAGGGGGTGGGGAGGGAGGGCGGAGGGTGGGGCGGGAACTGGGAGGAGGGGAGTTATGGGGGGGAAAAAAAGAGGAACAAATGTAACCTGAACAATAAAGATTTAATTAAAAAAAAAAAAAGAAAATAAGACTTTCTTTTAACACTATAAACAAAGGACTAAAATGATCTTAAATATCTAAAAATGTTAGTAACATGGAAATTCCACCTATTAACATAGCAAGATGATCTTCGGTTCCTTGTAATCAACTCTATTTCATAAATACATGTTCTGGTACAACTATTTACCTGTAACAATCTATATTTAGAATGAAGATCTGTGTTGTGAAAGGACATCAGAAATGCTATACCTAGCCCTAGTCAGTTTGGCTCAGTGGATAGAGCGTCGGCCTGCAGACTGAAGGGTCCCAGGTTCGATTCTGGCCAAGGGCACATGCCCAGGTTGCGGGCTCGATCCCCACTGGGGGGCGTGCAGGAGGCAGCCAATCAATGATTCTTTCTCATCATTGATGTTTCTATCTCTCTCTCCCTCTCCCTTCCTCTCTGAAATCAATAAAAGAAATATATTTTCTAAAAAGAAATGCATTATCTAAAGCTTTACATGCAAGAAGAATTAAGCTTTGATTGCCCATATCAACAAGGCTAATCTTATGAACCAAGAAATCAATCCCAAATCCTAATTCTATAACCACTCCCCTCAAAATCCACCCACCTTATATTCTCCCCAGCTGCATGGACAAAGCATTTTTTGCCACCCAGCACATACAACCTGCATACCTGTTTGGAAGGTAGGATTTGCTCCAGGGTACATGCTGGGGGAGTAGGCAGGAGCTGCTGCTGCATAGCTCATGGGGAAACCAGCTGGAGAAAAACACACAGAACAATCTGATGTTATCACTTGAAGAAGTAACATGATTTTACAACCAGGGTGCCCACAGACACAGTCACTCTTACCTTCTTTATCAGAACTCCAGACTAACTTAGGCAGCCCAACAGCACTATGTAAGCTGAGCAGTTTGTCTCTAGTTGTCTCTCCTTTTCTCAGAATTGTGATGGGTCACAATCCTAATCATGTATTTTAAACCTATGAGTAATGTTTACAACTTTTGCCCTGGCCAGTGCCAGCCCCACACAAGGCTTCCTGAGCCCAGGCTTCCAGTGCCGGAAGAAAGTCCCCATAAATTCTGGCTGTAAAATTAGTTTAGATTGTGGCTGAATGAGATGGAGGACTCCTAGAGTCCCAGGAGTTCCTTTTAAAAAGCCCGCACAGGGACTTGGACTGACTCGCTCTGAGCTCCAACACTGGGGCAGCAGCTTGAAAAGCACCAGGGAAACATGGGGAGGAAATGAATTGTCTGGCATCAGTGTGAGGGCTACAGGGCTAAAGTGGCATCTTTCTCCATTGTCCCTTTGCTGATCCTTCTCCCCAAAGAGACCACAGGCAGGAGCCATAGCTGAGTCACCATCAACCTAGCTAAAATTGCTCTCCACCCCTTGATGATTACCTGATACTCTGCCACACCCAACTTACAGGCCCAATCAAGCTGCCCCCAGGGGCTTTTCTATATTAACTGCCTGTCTTGGCAGTTACTAGATTGGGGAGCGGCCATCGGACCCATTATCCTGGAAACCAGACTGATATTTTCCCAACCGAGAACTGATAAAAACTCCAGGTTTCCAGCCAGCCCAGTTGGTCTCCATACAAGAATCTCTGTCCAGCCAAGGGCAGAGTAACAATTTGGACCATGTGGGGAGGAATAATTTTGGGACATGGAAACACACCAACCATAATCCCTGAAAGCTAAACAGCAACTCCATCAACTAAAGCCCTTTCAGAAACACACTTTTGAATGATTAAATTGACAGCTGGCTAACAGGCAAAGGTGGGCAGAGGAGCCCAGGAAATATGGGGCACTTTGCTGTTTCTTTGTTATGGGGTGAGGCCACAACATTAGTAACAAAGAAACAGAATTTCCGGAGGATGAGGCCCAGAAATCAGGATTTTAAAAAGATTCATTACTAATGTTGTGCCCCCCATAACAAAGAATCAGAATTTCTGGAGGATGAGGCCCAGAAATCAGGATTTTAAAAAGATTCCCAGGTGATTCTAATGTGCAGCCAAGGTTGAGAACCACTGTCTTAGAGCTTCAAGCAGGTTGCTAAAAGCCAAAAGACAGTGCCTAACAATGGTTAGCACCTAAGTTCCTAACAGAAAGCCCAGAACTGGCAGACAGAACAGAAGAGTGGGATCAGAAGCGAGTTCACATGGGGCACTAAACTTGGTTGAAACAAATGCCACTTCACTTTTTTTATTATTTTTTTCCCTTTTTTTTGCTTCTTTTTTTCCTTTTTCCTTTCTTATTGTTTTTTCTTTCCATGCTTTTTTCCCCTTTTTAAATTTACCTTTATATCTATCTACTTTATTGATTTGTTGTTATTCTAGTCTCTGTTCTTTCATTCATATATCTAATTTTCCTCTTCCCTTTTCGTACTCAATTTTTTTTTCCTTTTTTCTTTTTTTCACTACTCAATCTTTTTATCTCTTTTCTTTTGCTTTTCTTTTTCTACTGCTTTCTCATCCTTTCTCTTTTTCTTGTTTTAGGTCTAATTGCTTTCTTTTCTACTTTCCTTTTCAAAGTTTTTCCTTGTATTTTCATTTCTTTCCTCCCTCCTTTATTTTAAACCGATTTGCTTCCCTTATTCCTCTAATTCTTTATTCTTATTTTCTTTACTTAAGCTCTACATATACATATTCTGCCCCCACTTTTCTTGTTTTTTTGTTTCTGCTTTTTTTGTTTGTTTTGCTTTGTTTTCTCCTAGTATTTTTTTCTCTCTTTTTACTGTCATTCTTGCTCTATTTTTCTCTTTCCTAATTCTCTATTCTCTGGTGGTTGCTTTTGTTGGTGCTGTAGGGGTTTTGTGTATGTTTTGGTTTTGTTTCTTCTGTTTTATTTTGTTTTGTTCGGTCAGCATCTCCACAACAGCTCAAAAGCTGTGGTTAGGGTTGAGCCAGCCTGAGAGGAGACTCCATCCAGGGATAGGACAATAACATTCAAAACCCAACTTCAATAGGAGAACCCAAATAACTCACACAATGGGCTTTCCTAGAGCACCCAGCTCAGGAGATCTAAGAGACTGCATATTGGGTCCCACAAAATACCTACTACATTAGACCACCCCACAAAATCTGGGAGGCATAGCAGTTTAATGTAATGGGTAGAAATGAATACAAAGGGATAGCAAAAATGGGAGACAAAGAAACAACCCCCAAATGAAAGAAAAGGAGGAATATCCAGAAAAGAAACTAACTTACCAGGTGCTATGTATGCATGTTCATTTCCTATTCTCACAGCCCCACAACTTCTTCAAATCTGTATCTAAACTTTGGGTCTCTAGAGACCTTCAGTCTGGGCAGGAGTGATTGCTTACTTGGCTCTCTACTGGGGTTCCCTACACTCCAAGACACATGAGCCAGGAGCCAGAAGAGAAGCACAGGGGCAGGTGGGCACAGGAGGGCTAAGTGTCTGAAGGAAGGACTACTTAGACTTGGGGATACGAACCTGATTCTAGCATGCAGAGGAAGCCAGGACTACTCTAAGAACCCAAGTTCTCACTCTTTCCAGGAGACCTGATCAGAAAAATATCATTTGTCTTTGGCCCCCCAAGATGCATTCCAGCCAGAGTGCTCGTTCCTAAATCCATTTTGATTAATCTTATATTCTCGTCTCTAGCTTTGATCTCAACTGTCAAGTGCACAGAGACAACCCAGAACTGGTAAATAATGATAACAAGTGGATAAATGTTACATTCTAGAGGACTATTGTCATTAACCCAGGTCTGAACCACTAGGGAAAGTGGCTTGGCTTGAGACAGACCATCCACTTGCCTATCAGTATTCTGCTTTTATTGTTAAAAATAATTACTTTGTTATTGCAATAAAGTATAATAAGTTATATAAATAAATAGTAAAATTAAATTAAATTAAATTAAATTAAATTGCAGGTGAAATGAAGAGCTTCCCAGACAATAAAAAGACTACCCTAGCTGGTTTGGCTCAGTGGATAGAGTGTCAGGCTGTGGACTGAAGGGGTTCGATTCTGGTCACGGACACAGAATAAGTCCCATTGACTTGATAAGTCCCATTGTGGACTTGACCCCCAATAGGGGGTGTGCAGGAGGCAGCCGATCAATAATTCTCTCTCATCATTGATGTTTCTATCTCTCTCTCCCTCTCCCTTCCTCTCTGAAATCAACAAAAATATATATATATTTTAAAACTTTGAAAAAAAAAGACTAAAGGAGTTCATTACCACCAAACCATCATTGCAAGAAATGTTAAAGGGACTGCTCTTTGAAGAAGAAGAAATAGAGAAGAACGTAGACATAAAAAATAAAAATGGCAATAGAAAGGTACCTATCAACAATAATCTTAAATGTAAATGAATTAAATGCTTCAATCAAAATACACAGAGTAGCTAAATGGATAAGAAAACATGACCCATATATATGCTGTCAACAGGAGAGCCACCTCAGAACAAAACACTCACACAGGATGACGGTGAAGGAATGGAAATTTTTTTCCATGCAATTGGAAATGAAAAAGAAACAGCAATCCAGGAATAACAATACTTATATCTAACAAAATAGATTTCAAAAAAAAAGGCCATAATAAAAGACAAAGAAGATCACTGCATAATACTAAAGGGATTGTTCCAACATGAAGATATAACCCTAGTAATACATATATACACCCAAAATAGGAGCACCTAAATATGTAGAAATCTCTTGGAGGACAATGAAAGATTGACAGCAATACAGTCATGGTAGGGGACTTTGACAGCCCACTGACATCATTGGATACATCTTCCAGATAAAATTCAACAAGGAAACAGCAACCTTAAACAACACACTAGATAAGATGGGTTTAACTGGTATTTACTGAACATTTCATCCCAAAGCAAGAGAATATACATTTTGCTCAAGTGCACATGGAACTTTCTCCAAGACAGACCACATATTAGACAACAAAATAAATCTTAAGTTCAAGAAGACTGAACTCGAGGGAGAGACCAAGATGGCGGCATAGGTAAACACCGCAGACTGCTGCCGCAAACAACCACTTCAAAAATACAACTAAAAGACGGAACGGACATCACCCAGAACCACAGGAAGGCTGGCTGAGGAGAGACTCTTCAACTAGAAGGAAAAATAACAGCACACCGAGGCTCAGAGGAGGCGCAGTGTGGAAAAAACTCAGGTGCGGAGGTGCGCGCGCAAAGCGGGCTGGTGGCTGAGAGCGCGGTTGTCGTTTTCGGTCAGGGGGGAGTCTCAGACTCTGAGCTCCAGATACGGGCGAATCGCTGGGGACTCGGACCCAAACGGGAGAAGCGGGAGTGTCTGGCATCAGTTGGAAGGCAGCTTTCCCTCCGAGGTTTGCAGCGGTTCCGGGGGTTCTGAGAAGCAGAGCCTCTGGGAACGGGACTGAGAGGGGCCATAACCGCTCCCTCCGCCCGCCCGCCCTGTTGAGCCCGCCCCGCCCAAGCCCTGCGCAGAGCCATTTGCCAGATCGCCTCAGGCAAAGGCTAGATTAGCACCTCCCCAGAGGACAGAAGTTTTCCGCGGCAGACACAGCTGATTCACACAGCCAGTCGGCCTGGTGGTCAAATCCCTCTAGTATTAACTACAACAATCAAGGCTCAACTAGAACAAGACTGCGCACAAAGACCACTAGGGGGTGCACCAAGAAAGCATAAAAAATGCGGAGACAAAAAAACATGACAGAAATGGAGGATATAGAGCTAAAAAACGCAATTTTGAGGGCTTGCAATAAACTTTTGGAGAGCCTCACGAAAACTAATGAG